TGAATTCATGAATTTCAACAAAAGAATCATGATCTTCGACCTCAAAAACCCCCACTCATCAATTTTGAATAGAATCGGACCAAATCTTGTCCGCCATCTTGGAGCAGCCATTTTTTTAATTTCAACAAAAATTCCATAATGTATTGTCACTGGAATTATGAACACCTGCCAAATTTCAAGTTAATCGGAGTTATGGAATTTTTTTTGAAATTTAAAAAAATGGCTGCTCCAAGATGGCGGACAAGATTTGGTCCGATTCTATTCAAAATTGATGAGTGGGGGTTTTTGAGGTCGGAGATCATGATTGTTTTGTTTAAATTCATAAATTCAAGATGGCGGCTTCCGAATAGTTTTTTGTTTTTGTACAAATGACGATAACTCCGTTGTTATCAACACAAAACTATTACTGCGACATATCATCTATAAGAGAAAAAAAAAGTTATTTGTAACTAAGTCATAGTGAGCTGTGACCTACATTTGAAAAACTAAAGTTGGTGCTGATATCTCAAATTCTAGGAGAGTTAGTATACATTTCATATTGTTTTCGAAATCACCTTGAAAAACTGCCATGAGAATGTGAAATTCCTATTTGAATATTTTCATAAATAAAGAAGTTACTGAGGAGACATGAAAATGATCAAAATCTGTTTTTTGCGTATAAAACAAAAACGAATAGATTTTATCAGAATATTTTTTTCTTATTATAGTTGACCTTGACAAACCCCACATTTGGTGTCATTTAACCGACCTCGTATCTCTCACCGTCAAAAAGATACCCATGGTAAGTGGGACACACTGTATATTTTTCACAACATCAGAAAGCAGAGATTCCAAGAACAAGAAGCATATGTACTTTTTTAAAGAAGTGGATATTTTTACGCGAGAATTTTCGATTGAAAATTAGTTTACTTTTTTGATATTATGTCAAAATAAGGTGAAAAAATGAATATTTCGAATCAGAAAAAACATAGAGTATTTTGGACACGAAGAAGCAGGTTTTTGCAAAATTCCATAAAACAATGGTTATTCACAACCATATTATGTAATCTTGTCATTACTAACGTCATTGAAGGTTGGGAAGTGTCACATTACACACCACTACTTCCCCCCCTCACTTCACGCCCTTCAGTACTTTCCGCCCTCACTTCCCGCCCTCACTTACCGCCCTCACTTCTTGCCCTCACTCATGTAATAATTCAGGTATGTTCAGAACGAAACATAGATTTATTAATTTTGATCAAAATATGATGGTTGTTAATAAAATAGTATACAAACCTTGGTAGGGAGTTTCATTCCTGTATCGAGATTATAGCTAACCTCGACGCTTTGCGTCTCGGTTAACTAACCAATCTCACGACAGGAATGAATAACTTCCCACCTCTGTGTGTAATATACTATTATTCACACCTATATATATCATGTTGTCATTACTGACGTCATTGAAGGATGAGAAGTGTCACATTACACACCTTCACTTCCCGCCCTAACTTCCCGCCCCCACTACTTCCCGCCCTCTCTACTTTTCGCCCTCACATGCCGCACTCACTTATGTAATATTTCAGATAACCTCGACGCTTTGCGTCTTGGTTAACTAACTAATCTCACGACAGGAATAAATCTTTCTCCACCTTGGTGTGTAATATACTATTATCTTTTGGAAGATGAAAAGTCGAAATCAAGAACTTGGTTATTGGAATTTTCCACATGAATTTTGAGTTTATGTGAAAGAAGTGTGGAACCACAGGACTTGTAGTTTTGCCGTAAATCGTTTCTTACCCACTTCCAGACCTCAGATCGCCTCAGAGTCTCTGTTTCTGTTCGGTGATACAGCTTACCGCCTAAGCTATACCCTTTTATCGAGTTTTCTTTCAGGCAGATCGATTCATGTGGTGGTGGACGGAGTTGATACCATTGCCATCAATTCCGGCGTTCCACAAGGATCAATTTTGGCACTGTTCATACTTCATATCAATGATCTCTTAGGAACAACCACTTGCCCTATCCACAGATTTGCAGGCGATAGTACTCTCCATACTGCGTTCTCTTTTAGAATTCCCTTCTCTTTCCAGTACCAATAACCGTTTTTTTTTTAATTGACTCGGCCGTTACTTGATATGTATTGTATTGTACCAGTTTATCACTTGACGAAGCAACTGTGTTAGCGAAACATGTCGTGTGTTTGAGAGTTTTGTGGAAATCTTATCTTTTTTGGAGTTTTTACCAATAACCTCGTCGAATTTAACACCACCAATACTCAAGCCTGTATTCCATCTACAGAGGAGGAACTCAGTATGCCTGTTGAAACAATATATGATACCACCATTCATACCGAGACCACCATATCGATGCTCGGTATTTCCATCAGCAAATCAGTTTGAAAATTCATGTCCGATCCGTCGCGAAGTCTGCTTCACAAAAACTTGGATTTTATTCCAAGTGAAAATCAACTTCACAACTCGACAGTTTCTCATGATCTACTTACAATGCACAGATACGACCAGTTTCAGAATACCGTTGTCTCATATGGGGTTCAAAACCCGAACGCTGATGCCCTTATGTTTCATCTAGAGAAGAGACATCTGCCTGGTGGGTGACGTCACACTCACTGATACTTTGACTTCATCAGAACACCGTTAAAAAGTCGTCGACTTTCCAGTTTTCTATAGATGCTTTCATGAAACTTTTCCCCAAAAATATCTGCTATCAGCATTTCATCACTAGCAATACCACTCAGTAGCATTTAACAGACAGCACATTTTTCCGTACTCAACCTCAAAACATTATGCCGAACAACACTTTACCAAAACTCGTTTCGTGCGCTCCAAGAGATAAAAAGAAGGCAACAAAAAATAGAGAGAGGAACAGTTTGGAAAGTACCTATTTACATTGATCGTGATATAGAAGATCATTCAAAACCGTGTAATAATCAGTTAAAAATAGGATATCGCCAATTTTTACAATCACTTGCACTGAAGATTTCTATAGAATATCTCGAAAATATCCATAGGTCAGTGGGACCTAAAATCTAAAACTGTCAGGGTGTACAAAAAATAATCTGGAGATACAGCGGAAGAAAAACGCTTGGACTCTTCGCAAGTTCACAGTTCGTTGTTTGTTTTTTGTCGTGTGAAGCAGGAGTGAGACGGTACCATTGAAATTTGTGAACATTCGTGTATCATTATTTGAATAATCTTGAACCCGTAGTGGACTCTGTTATTTCTCCGCATGTTCATGTCAAATATTTGATTGAATAATCATCATAAATTAATAGTCATTCCGTATAAACTGAGAGATTATTTCGGTTGTAGCTACTGCACCAAACATACGGATTGTTTATTTATGAGGATAGCAGGTCTGCTACAGGTCTCGACTCTGAGTTGAGATCAAGGATTCATTATGTTATTGAGGATTTATTGATACCTTTAAGTGAAAAATATTACCAGAAGACAAAACATTCTTCTTGCAGTCCAGGTATTTAGTGATTGCTTGGCAGGACTTTGTAAAATGCCATGCAAACACTGGTTTTGGCAAGTAAGTCAGTCTGCTCATTACAATCCATACCGAAATTAACAGATATTCAGATCAGAGTCAATGATCGTTGAGTCATTATCTATTGTCCACCAGATTGCGCTACTGACTCTTGTGGTCAGAATGGGAATATAGAACTGATGAATTTACTTCTTCATTTCGTGTCATTTGGCCTCTTCCTACGATATCTTTTTCATCGTCAATGTAAGAAGTGGTCGTAAAGTTCCACATTGAGAGTAGAAAAATGTAAGTCTGCTTCAGCTTCCATATCTTGAAGTTTTATATTTGTTCAAATATTCTACATAATTTTTTCCCGATATTTTCGACAAAACACGCCAAAGGCGCCACATTCTTCAGGCTGCCCGGCAAAATTTTGTGATCTTTAACTTTGACATTGACCTCACTATTATTCCTCCTCTTCCCCACAGAACCTGCATTCTTCTTGATCTTCTAAGCCGAGCTCACTAAGATGTCCTTTCAATCGGCAGAGCCCTGTTAGGACTGCCGTTGATTATATAGTAGTATAATTTCATTTTTACTCAGGCTGGCATACGCGTTCGAGAATGATGAACCCAGTAGGTAAAGTTTATCCAAAAACAATTGCAGAGTCTCGTGTCGCACCTGCAGTCACTTCAAAGAAAATTTCAAACACGCCGACGCCGCACAGTGCGGGATATTCTGCAATTGATTTTGGATATACTTTAGCATCTTAGCCCGTCTGAGATAAAGAACATTTTAGTCTCTGTTTAGCTTCTTGTTTTATGATCTCTTCTGACACATTCCTGATGTTGGAGGTTTGTATGATACGAGATGATCATTGCGTAACTTACTTATTTTGCATAGATCTACAATGCAGCAAGCCAGTCAACGGTTCTGCGGAAGCTGGAGCAAATTCGAATTCGTAGTTCGAATGGAGTGAAGCTTCATGTCGGATCCAGTTCGTTGCTTCGAAACCACTATATTGTACCGCGATGAAAACAGATAATTTGAAATTATTCAAAAGATCGTGTTCACTGTAATGATATAAAATATACTGATTTGACTTCTTGAAACCATATAAGGAGGAGTCTAAGACTGATATACTAGACTGGTGCCTGCCTCATCGAATAGTTTCAAATGATTATCACGGAAGAGACCAGTTGAGAACCTCTAACTCTATGAAGTTATATAATATTCTCAGCAAACAAATAGAATTCACGAAACATCAAGAACAATAAGCTGACTCAGATACAACTACCTAGTTTTGAATGATGATCAGGCAAGAGACGAGTTGAGAACCTGGCATTATAGGTATATGAAGTTATATGATTTTCGCAGTAAATAAATAAAATTCACGAAAAATCAAGAACAATAAGCTGACCCCAGAAACAACTGCCTGCTATAAATATAATAACGTTACGATCTTGCAACCTCGAATATTTCTGAAGCCATGTCCATGCGCTACGAAATTTAAAAATAGAGTTAAATCAACGAGCAAATGGTATCATAGTAATTTCCTCATTTTGGAAGCGAGAACAAATAATGTAAGTATTTGAATTCCTATAACCATCTATAACCATCGGTAGCAATAGTTGGTGTAGAACGATGAATCTATCAATCATTTCCTTGTTCCTGTTTTTATTATTCAGCTTCTTAGCTGATGGAGCTAGAATTTTGGCAGTGTTTAGCTTTTGTAATCACAGCCATTTCTGGTTAGGGTTCAGATTGGTGCAAGAACTTGCTAAGAGAGGGCATGAGGTGACGTTTATCAATTGTTTTCCTCAGAAAACGCCGATCAAAAACTTGAGAGACGTTTCAGTTGCAGAAACAAAGGATGCTATTAAAGGTGAGTTTCTTTCTACATTTGACATAATTAGGCCATCTGAAAGTTTGTCTATTCTAATATGTATGACTGGAATAATTTTGATTTACATTTTTTCATTCACACAATACAATAAAAAACATTTCAGGATTATTCGAACAAAATTTATTTTCTAATCAGCAAGCAGGTGCTGGTCCCGGAACATAATAAAAAAAATACATATTCAAACTGACAAGTATAAAGTAACAAATACCATAAAACAAATTGAAACATCTTAATTACCTACACGTAATTACTAATCAAGATACATTTTTTTTTCACTCTGACACATTCAAAATTACACATTTCTCAACAGTCATTTTTATTTTATTTTTGAATGGGCAAGAGTAAGGATTATCTCTTATATACTCTGACCACTGAACATAAACGTTTATGTTCGGTGCTAATGATGGTTAGTCGTCTCACGGAAAATCTCTCAATGTGTTATGTCGAGCTCAAAACGTGGCTATGGGAGAGTGTCTCCAGTTTTCCTTCATCTCTTCAAATAACATCAGAAAAAAATAAAAATGATGCCCATGAGAGACATCCTTATCTTGGATACAGTGTATACTAAAAAAAATGTGCATCGAATATTATAGTTGAATCGAATCATATATAATCACGAACTTCTTGACTCCTTCAGTTAATTTACTTGTGATCAAAAAGATTTGTGTTTTACAGAAAAATTATCCGAATTGGTTGATTTTGGCCAAAAATCGTATTGGGGTCAACTAGAATTTATGAATGAAGTAGGCATCATTTACACGAAGGAAGTTTTCTCATCACCCAATGTTCAAAATCTCCTTCAATCCAATGAAGAATTCGATTTGGTTCTCTTGGAACATTTCATGAATGACGCTATGGTGTATTTCCATCACAGGTTTGTATAAGATTATATTGCCTTCTATTAGTCTATCGGCTATCCAAGATATCGGTGTGATTTGGAAGTGTGAGAGTGTAGTCGCCCACAAGATATAAAAACATGAACGATGTCGAGAAATCATTCAAACACATACCGCATATTTGATGAACTCACTTCTTAACATACATGAGAATTCGAATATTTTTATCAAGTCCGCCTGGTACCGTTGTTATTGTATGTTCTTGATCCCTCTTATGTTGCTTTAGGTAGGTACTCATTTAATTTTTGACACCTCATGCAAGGTCCAGTTGCAGCCAACGAGAACTATTGTTTTTTGGCATGTGTTCATTCGAATTCGTGATTCGAATGTTTCTAATACTGCATCATTTATTATTGAGATAACATCTTTATTATGTGCCTTTCAACTTTATTCAAAATTGATATCTACAAGATTCGTGTGCAATGTCATATTATTCATTTATGTATCAGCCCAATCAGCACAAATACGTCTTATGGACGTTTTAAAAACGTCCACTCTGGACATTCAGGACGTTTTGGGGACGTCCATTTCCGGACGACGGACGTCTAATGGACGTTTTGGGGACGTCCATTGTTAATAATCAGGATGTTTTGGGGACGTCCAGTTTAGGTCCAGACTAGGACCTTTTTGGTATGAAAAATGGACGTATTGAGGACATTCAGATAATATTGATTATTCATTTTCTGACCCATCTGAAGAGTGAAATACTTGAATATTAGTAAACATTTATTCGCGAACAATAATATGAACAGAGATTTAGGTATTTATGTTTCAATTTCACTCTTCCATATCGTATATCAGCAGCAGCACCACTAAAAACGTCGCGTGATTCATCCAGTTACGCAGGCGCGATGATGTCTTTTTCTGATTGGCAGCCCTCTGCTGTTGTCTTCTTCACTGGATCTGTAAATAATAATAATATTTAATCATCTTTTGTGAATACCATGAACCATGAACACACACCCACTTTCAACGTTTAGTAGTCAGTATACTTCATTATTTTTATTCCATTGAGAACTTATTGCAAACATAAACTGATTCTTAGGTAGGTACCTATGTATAACCTCTTTGAACCTTGCACGAAATATATTATGTTTTAACTATATTATACAAAAATATAAACTTTTGTAGATGATGGAAATAGGATTAGGTAGAGCTTTGCATGAAATCAAATTATATAGAAAGGTAGCTAATGTTTTCAACTCCAGATTCGATGTTCTTACTCAAGCACCTTCAAGCGAATGAAAATAAAACGATAGCGTCGATAGCCATACTTGCCTTCATGCTGCTGTTAGCACAAAACATCTCAATAGAAGTCGAGTTCGAAGTTCACCAGTTGAAAGATGATATCCGCAAAGATTTCACTTATTCACTGCTTTTACAGTCAAATAACCCGAAAAGTTCATAATGTCCTTGGACCTGAATCACAGTTTATTCGGCACTCGGCAGTGGTCAACTAACGAACGCGCGAACGCCATCTTCCCATTTCGTTTCACGTAACACGCACAGTGTTGCCGGATGAAAATTTGTCGGAGCAGTAGATGGGTGAGGAAAAAACAGTAGATCATCAAAACTGAACAGAAGATTTTGATTATCATCATAATTTGCTATTATAAATGAAAAAACATAGTCACCTTTACAATAAACGAAAAAAAAAATCATGTTCGGTCTCTATTGTACCTAATAAAAATCGAACGAAGAATAACAAAAAAACCGCAACCAGATTGAAAATAAAAGCAAATTTTTACTAATCAGACTGAATATGATAGTTGCAGTATATTTTTATCATAGATATTCTTACTGTGATGTCCCATTAATTTTTCATTGTTGCATATTAGGTAGTTATGTCATATCAAAACATGACCAATCAGACCATTGCCTTGAATAGTTGAACAGTGGAACGGAGACAAAAACAGTAGATCTACTGCTAAAATAGTAAGTCTGGCAACGCTGAGCACGCATGCGTTCTACGGTTGCTTTACATATTCAGTGATTCAATCAAATCTTACCTATTATAAAAGCGCGGCTTGTATGAATACTTCAGTGTGGGTTTAAGAATGGTCAAACTGTAAAGGTATTATGTGATTGAAGTAATATAAACATAACTATATAAGTAGGTACAAATCGGTCAAAATCATCAATATTTCAAATTCATAATATTAATAATAAAATGAAAAATATTATATTGACACAGCTGATATAAAATATATTTCTTGACATCATTCATGTCCATATTCAAATCAATAATTCCAATTTTGAAATCAATAAATACCTACCTACTTATATTAAATTAAACTGATATACCGTGGGAGTCTGTGAATTGGACGTTTTAAAGACGTCTTTTTCTGGACGTCCGGAGTATGTCTAATAATGGACGTCTTAAAAAGGTGCATTAAAGGTCCTGGACGTTCAGACCAAAAATGGACGTCTTCGGGACGTCCCGTGCTATCTTGGAGGGATGTGATATAGGCTTTCATGGAACGTAGCATGTAAGTATAAGAACCCGAGCGATAGCGAGGTCCATGAAAGCAAGCTATCCCCGAAATTTATACATTTTTTAAACAACCTGTATATTCGGTTCTTCAAGCATGATAAAAATACATCATGGTTGCAGTGACGAATAGCATTGATGTGGGCTGCTATTTCCGACATATTTTATGTCTTTATTGATCATTGTGTAGGTACTTGTACTACTATAACTATTAACTTTCTCTGTTCAATTATCGATAACTTTGTGATAACGTGGCGGTGAATTCATGAATAGGTATATGAGAAATGATGGAAACATTTTCCTCAGAGAAATGTGAATTGAAACTGTGAATGATGAAGCTTTGATGACATTGCATTTGCATGAACACATTTGACTGTGAACAATATTTCACCATAGTATCGTACAACTACAAATGTAAAGAAACTGTATGGAACCTCAAATGTGGAGAATCCTTCATTTGATTAGGAGTACATCAATATCGGATAACTAGAGTCAGCGCAGTTTCGCTTCCCCTAAATCACCATCCGCAATCTTGGATATGCCGTCATTTCAGTTAGCTATATCCTACGAAGCCCTGGAAGGGACACATAAAATAAAAAAAATAAAAACTCTTCAAAATTCCGAGTTATAACTCGGAATTTTAAAATTCCGTGTTATAACTCGGAATATTGGATGTAAAATTCCGAGTTATAACTCGGAATTTTAAAATTCCGAGATATAAGTCGGAATTTTGATGTAAAATTCCGAGTTATAACTCGGAATTTTAAAATTCCGAGATATAAGTCGGAATTTTACATCCAATATTCCGAGTTATAACTCGGAATTTTAAAATTCCGAGTTATAAGTCGGAATTTTAAAATTCCGAGTTATAAGTCGGAATTTTGATGTAAAATTCCGAGTTAAAACTCGGAATTTTAAAATTCCGAGATATAAGTCGGAATTTTACATCCAATATTCCGAGTTATAACACGGAATTTCAAAATTCCGAGTTATAAGTCGAAATTTTGATGTAAAATTCCGAGTTATAACTCGGAATTTTAAAATTCCGACTTATATCTCGGAATTTTAAAATTCCGAATTATAACTCGGGATTTTAAAATTCCGAGATATAAGTCGGAATTTTAAATCCAAAATTCTGAGTTATAACTCGGAATTTTAAAATTCCGAGTTATAACTCGGAATTTTACATCCAATATTCCGAGTTATAACACGGAATTTTAAAATTCCGAGATATAAGTCGGAATTTTGATGTAAAATTCCGAGTTATAACTCGGAATTTTAAAATTCCGAGTTATAACTCAGAATTTTGAAGAGATTTCATTTTTTTTATTTTATGTGTCCCTTCCAGGCCTTCGTAATATCCACCTCAATTGAGATGGCGATCAAGATTTTGTGTCAACCCAATATATACCTATTGATACAATCAAAAGTGCATTGAAAACGGAAGTAAGTTCCCCAATATACATAATATCGTTCATTTGAATTTGTGTCGTGATCCAGAATATGTAATTGAAGGTCCAAAACGACATCCATCCGAGTATATGTACAGCGTGTCTCACATTAAACGCCCCCCCCCCTCTATATCTCAGTTATTGAGCATGCGATTCCAACCAAATTCGATGTGGTATGAATAACCATCAATATAATCAGTTTTACAGAGATTTATATCATTTTGGATAGTGCCGCGCGTTTTTATTGAACTAAAAAGGAGTCGATTTTACATAAAATCATATTAGGCATTTTTTTAAAGGAAATCTAACCTCATATTATTGTTCCTCATGCTTTCGAACCCCCATACGCAAAAAATCATCTAATTTCGAATTAACAGAATTGGCTTAATTTTTTTCATTTTCTGTCTCGAATAAATAATGACTTCAAATCAACTACGGATTCTGGAACGTTCAATGGCTCCGGCAGGTGGAAAATCATGATTTGGAAGGAGAAAAGAGTTATACTTCATTATGTCGAACTCACCGTTTCCGAGTAAATAATTATTACGTTACACCTCGCGTTACACTTCATAGGCATCTTATGAAAATCCACATATGTGGTTTTGAACCCATGAAGAACAATATAATGAGGTCAGTTTTCCTGTGGAAAAATGCCTTATATGATTTGATACCCTAATCATTCCAATAAAAATGCACGGCACTGTCTAAAATGAAGTTTGTCTTTGTCATATTGATGATTTTTCATAACGACACAAATTTGGTAAAGATCGCACGACTGATAGCTGAGATATAGAGGGGGGGCGTTTGAAATAGACACGCTGTATATTGTTACCAAAGCAGTAATTGGACGAAATATATTATATACTCTTTAGAACGCTTACTTTCGATTGAATGAGTAGATGAAACGTCTATTGTTGTAGGTTCAATTGTCCACTAGTGTTTTCTGCTCCTGGACCATCATCAGTGCTCAACAATCATTTGTCAGCAAATTTCGCACCGCCTTCTTATGTACCCAATTTGTTGAGTGATCACGATTCTAAAATGGACTTTTGGGAAAGACTGACCAACACGTATTTGGATGTTGTTGGAGGAATAAATATTCATTACAGGTACGTTACCCCTTGTGCTTCCATACGCCGAAGAACCTTATAGTTATGCTTGAATATCTAACAAAGGTGTAAGTTAACATAATGAATTCGATGACATATATAATGATTGCTACTGGTTACCCAGTATATTTCTTGATGATGTGTCGGAAAATTATATTGAATGAACTACATGTATACAGGGCCAGGTGAGGTTAGGGTAGGGGTTAGTTAACATATGAATTCAATGACATATCTAATGATTGCTAGTATACCCTTGGGAAACATGCCACGATTTTTCAGGCTGAAGTATTTGCAATACTTGCATGTGTTCGAGAGAATATCGAGAGGGGCTATCACAGCTAGCAAATCACCATATGCACTGACAGCCAGGCGGCGATCAAGGCGTTCACCTCGTATAGGGTGACCTCCGCCTTGGTGTCAGAGTGCATAGATAGCCTACAAAGCTGTCAACAACGAACAAAGTATGTCTTTCGTGGGTCCCTGGACACTCAGGGGTACCAGGTAACGAAATGGCCGATGGTCTGGCCAGAAAGGGGGCGAAGAATTCAGTGATTGGCCCAGAGCCAATCTTAGGGGTCACTCGATCCTGGAGCAACCTCAGGATGAAGGAAATCCTGACGGAAAGGTTTCAGGACAGCTGGAAAGAGGCTCCTGGAATGAGGAAGTACAAACTCCATATAGGACACCCGCCACGAAGACAGACTAATGCCCTCTTGGCTTTGAACAGGAAGGAGCTGAAACTGGTGGTGGGCCTTCTGACAGGGCACTGCCACTTGAACAAACATCTCAGCACGATTGGGATTGTGGAGGATCCTGAATGCAGATGGTGCCTAGAGGATGAAGATACTTCTACTCACATCCTCACTGAATGCCCGGCAGTAGTGGCAGCAAGGTATATCCATTTTGGGAGCAGTATCCTGGACCCAGGGGATGTTAAAAAGATTTGGCCTAGAAAGTTGGTCTCTTTTGCTCGCGAGATCGGCCTTCTCCATGGCTGACTTGCGATCCAGGAATGTGGGTGCACAATGGGCCCGAAAAGGGAGGCCGAAAAGTGCGTCAGGTCCCGGACCGCCCACTCACATACATATACATACATAATGATTGCTACTGGTTACCCAGTTTATTTCTTGATGATGTGTCGGAAAATGATATTGAATGTATTACATGTATACAGGGTCACATCATATTGCATCATATAGGTAATAAGTTCGTATTGACGTTATCAAATGAGACAGAAATTGTTGCACTTTCCTATTGAAGAGTTGAAGTCACAATTATTTCATTCCCATCCGATTATAGTAGTGTTGTATCAATGAAATATAATTAAAACTTATTCCTAATATAAATAAATACATTGGATTTATCCAAAAACATTCCTTGAGTAAGTATTATCAGATGAATCGGATGACCAAATTTCAAGTCATTATTTGATGAAACGGTTGAATTTTCATAGGGGGGACTCGAGGGTATCAAGGGAGGAAAGGTATCAATTTTCTTCAACTAAACAACTGAAGGACATGGAAGAAAATTAACCTCTTCTTCCATGATATATATACCGGATGTCGTGAAGCATTGTGACCACCAGATAACATACAAAGAATCTCAAAAATTTGTGGAATTCATGGGAGCCAGAGCTTTTCGAAATGGTGAGATCAAATCACTCTTTTGTCAAACAATCTACTAGACACCACTCCTTACTTTGGATTTTCAAATTGCACCCCCATGTTTTTCCGGTTCATATTAGATCATTTCTCAATCTCAATTATGTACTATACATCACGATCGATATAGCTATATCGTTGAAATTATGAAGAAGTGAATGATTTCACAAGATTATCATACTGTTACACCCAATTACTCCTCGGAAAATCAGGGCTACACACGAAGTCTGAATAGGCTATTCCAGATTCAAGGTGGGTTTAGCAAGTGATAACAGTAATCGCAACAAACATTGAAGGAAAAATCGATAGTTTTTCATGAAAATCATAGAAATCATTCGAAATTTCTGTGACTGAATAACTTGATGAATATCTATATTTTGATATGTCACTGATTGAGAATGAAAAGTTTCACAAGATGAACCGAAAACAAAACATGGGGGAGGGGGAGCAATTCGAAAAACCAAAGCTAGAGGGGTACTTTCTAGTAGACTGAAAAACAATAAAAATATTCATTGTTTCAAGTTATTGGGGTTAAACGGGACCGTACCGGTTTTATACTGAAAATGTATGTTTAAATAATCGCGGGTTACTTGGGACAGCAAAAAAATGAAAATAATACACCAGCACACATCTTGAGTTGCATTTTTTCGCTCAGAGAATTATTCAGAGGAAAGACTAATCTGAAAGAATATTCATTTATTCATTAAGAAAATGCAAAAATACTTAAATCAATGATAATGACATGTGACATGGTTTTACTAAATTCATCGCAAAGACAAAGAGGTCACTTGTGTTTTTTATACCTTTGAATGTCATTAATTCATGAAGAATTCGTAATTCGCTAGTAAAATTGCGTCCCGAGTAACCCCGACGTCCCAAATATCCCCATTTTTAACTCAGATATCTGCTGGTCTGATTGCTCTGGAACACCCGGTATGAGATTTTATCAACGAAACCATATTTTTTCAAGCATCATTTTTGAAATTGTGCTCCAGGCGATGTATCTCTCGATCCAAATCATCATGCATCACAAACTTAGAAAGGTATAGTATGCCATGAACAAATGACAAGGATGCATGCTGAAGCCAATTTATTTTACCTTCCACGAGATATAATATTTTTTGCATTACGTTGGAGTGGATTGGCAACTTTGTTTTCTTAAATGAGGGAGAAATCGCCTACTTTCGATTCAGCAGCAAAGAAGGTTTCATCTCTGTTGACAGGTTACAAAATATTACTCCTCAAAAAATTACTTTCTTCTCCAGAGAAAGGATGAATACAGTTACAATTGTGATAAGGGGAAAGATACGAGAAAAAAAAGTTGTTTATGTATGGCAATTCAGCATGGGTCACAGCAACAGGGTACAATAAGTTTCATCTGCACCACCTGAAATTGCGAAGAAATTATTAAGATTTGGTTGATTTATTTGTTTCATCTCTTGGAGCGCACGAAATGGAATTCGTGCGTACCTACAGAGGTTAGGAAGGTAGGTATTAGAAATTTATTTTGGAGATCAGTTCTGGGAATACTTCGTTAGGCAAGGAATTTTAAAGATTTGCCGTTCTATAGAAGTATAGACATACTCTAAGAATACCAATCGAAGGTTCTAGGTACAAATTTGTTTGTCAATTGACATAACATGGGCGTCACGAATTGAAATGCTTATGGCTGTTAATTCGATCTTATTAGCAGGTCTATCGAAACTTACGAATGTTCCTGAATATGGAACATCATCAAAATAGCGAATCACTATCAGCCTCAACAGCCCTCAGGGACTCACAACTTGTGAGTACGGAAATGGTGAACCCGAGGTGCCATAGCCGGATATTCACCAAACTTCAACTTGGTTTGGGTGATATCCTCTTCTCTCTTCCTTTTCCAATCCCTCATATCGGCCTTCTTTTGCCAACTTCTCTTTTTCTCCCCCCCCCTCCAAGCCCAACCTCTCCATCAAGTGGTGTAGGAGGACAGACCGCGGCCGTTCGACAGATGAATCATTTTGGGACCATCTTTGCTATCTCCGAGCCAGATGGGACAATTATTTGTGGACATCTGTGGCAAGGATTTGCTGATATCTGTCTAGATGGCCAAGCACTCGTCAACGATGCACTGACAACCTAATCCAAACTGTGGGAACCCGTGGCGATGGATGATGGTACCGAGGTATGGTGTTGCTAATATGGGACCTCTGAGAAACAGGGCGACATCTCAGAGTAAACAGCCTTAGCCCTGTGCAGGGGGCACCACATGGCTGGACCAACCCCTTCCCTTGTCACTCGCAGGTGAAGAGAAACAATTGGCCTTCTTCGTAAACGAGAACACGGATCGGAAGAGTTTTCTTCAGGAATCTGAATGAAAAAGGTCTTCCATATTGGGGGCGCCGTGGCCGAGTTTGTCTATGCGCTGAAATCTGCTAGATAGACGAATCCGCCTATCGGCTGAGCATTTTTCTTTGAAATTTGTGATTCATGGTTGTAATCCTGGCACCACGTCGATGTCCTCTTCATTGCCCTCGTACCTTCTATGTGCTGATACCCATGCTAGAGTCAGTCTGTTCTGACTGCCCAGTTCATATAGGGTTTACATGCTGTCCCATACTAGTTTTGAGTTAACTTGCATAGATTTGACTGCTTTGGTGGCCTTATCAATTTTTTTACGCAATGATGTATCGCAATAACTTCTGCCTGGAACACCGTCGCGTATTTACCTGAGCTCAGTGAGATTCTTGTCTTTGGCTTGGCCCCATAAATACCAGCTCCTGATCCTTCCTCACTTTTGGAGCCGTCTGTATAGACAGCAATGTCTGCATTGATAGGAGGTCCTTCCTTTCATGCCTCTCTGCCCGTTATATTTATTTTGAAAGTTCTTTCAAAGCTAAATTTTGGAATTATGCTATCCGTTGGCATTCCCATGATGGGGTCGCTTTCCAACTCTTCCTATTGCTTTCTGTAGTCTTTACCGTGCGCGTTGCTTATGGGTGTTTGACCCCTTGACAATCTACTCACGACTGCTCTGGCTTCGCCTTAATACATATTTGTAGTGGTGGCAGGTTCAAGAGGACCTCTGAAGCGGCTGTTGGAGTGGTTTTCATTGCACCAGTGGCACTCAGGCAAGCTTGCCTTTGAATAGCACTGAGCCTTCGAATCACTCCAGCCTGTTGTGTCTTTGGCCACCAAACTACTGACCCATATATGATATCATAGGTCTGATGACGATGGCATAGAGCCATGTGGTCATTTTTGGTTGCAGTCCCCAATTTTTTTCGCACATTCTTCTGCGCAGATTGAAGGCTACTGTAATTTTTTGAGCAATTTTTTGTAGGTGTTGATTCTATGTCAACTTATGGTCAAAGATGACTCCTAAGTATTTTGCCTCTAGGGCGAACGGAATTACTACACCGTTGAGTACTGGGGGCTTTAATCCTTCCAGTACATTCTCTTTTTCGTGAAATTCACTATAGAGGTTTTATGAGGGTTAGCCTTTTGATCAGTTCATCTATTAGAATGGCCCATAGTAGGGGTGATAATACTCCGGCCTGTGGGCATCCCCTATCTGCTCTAGCTGTCAGAGTTGTCCCGCCAATTGTTAATATGATAACCCTATTCTTCAAATTGACATTCATCCACTGGCACAGGAGTAGTGGTACTCCTTTCCTTGCTAGGGCGTTATGATTATAGAATTTGTTGGTGCGTTGTTGAAAGCACCTTCTATGTCTACGAATGTTGTTATAGCTATTTCTTTGTCCTTCATCGACTTTGCGAGTAGCCTGTTCAGATCATCCAGTGCTAAGTCAGTTGACTTGCCTGGCTGATACGCATATTGGCGTTCGTTGAGAGGGTTTCTTTGTAATTTCTCTTATCTTATGTATCCTTTCTGACATACAGGTTGTGAAAATTAGAAAAAAATCAAGGTTTTCATCAATGTCTTTAGAACCAATGTGTCTAATAGTCTCTGATTGCCATGGTCGAGTGATATTCAGGGAGATTATTTCATGAACAGCATTAGAATATGTTCATAAAAATAGATGTCTCAAAATTTGATTCAAGTTCCATTCGCATATAACTCTACAGATATTGTCCATTTGGAAAAGTTTCTTCTGAAGGCCGTTTGGCGTATTTTCGGCGTAGCTTCTCTTCCACAATGGTCCTTTTCAACGCTTCTTCCTTTTTTTGTTGTTTGCATAACGTGCATCGCGCATCCCTGGCACCTATGAGTTCAATATCTTGATATTGATTTATTTCACGTTTATTTCCATTGAACTATATAGGTACTTTCTGTATTGTTTTCGCAGTTGAAATCCACATCAATTCCTTTGTTTACTCGTTCACCATTCTCCTTACGCATCTCATCCCCAATTTTTCAGGATTTCGGCGATCAGGAGAATTTGAATATCCGACAAAATTCAGTTCTTCTGCTGGCAAAAAAACATAGATTGTATAAGACAGATTCTTCACTCTTCTTTGTAATTCCTGGTATTGATTCGCTTACATAATTACTGATTTCTGTAGTGGAAGTTGGCCCAAAATAAGACTTTTCAGTTTTTGAGTGGCTGATATATGTCAATCTTTGACATACACCATAGCATTTTTATGCTATCGATCAGAGTAGCCGCTCATATTGTTTGTTTACCTCATATCATGTGACTTCAATCATGAAGTTTCATAGTTGTAGCCAGGTTTGAATCAAATAATCGCTAGAAAACTTAGGGCAAAGTTTTGTGGCTGTCATAATGACATGATCACAGCGGCTTATGGCATATTTCCTGCATGCAATGAATTGTCACTTATTATTACAAGAAGTAAACTTACCATGATAAGAATTTTGTTGCCTGGCAATTTGACGAAAAAAACTGCCTCTGAAAAAATCACGAGTCCGTAGGATAGGCATAGTAATTTTTCCTGGCAGTTTTTGAGTTGAATTACCTAATGGCAACATGATCAGAATTATAAATGCCAAGTTCACTTAGACTATAAAAAAGCTAGAGTGTAATTTGGTGAGACAATTCAATTCATCAAACATTTGTTTATGGCTGGTTGTCATGCTCTCAAAAGTTAGGTTCCGTTATTGTCGCTGGAAAAGTTAGGGCAAACTTTTTTCGCTGTCATAATGACAAAAGCACGCGGCTGGTGTGATTATTCATACATGGATTGAATTGTCAACAAGAAAATTTTTAAGAATCATGGCAAGTAATGAGGCAGAGTAAGCTCGACTTCTACGTCTAATGCAGCGACTGTCTGAAATTTCTCTAATTAGATCATGTAATATTATTGTGTGAATATTGTCACCGTTTGATGAATTATAGATAATTCCAATGATATCAATATCTAATGAGAAATTGAGTCATCGAATCTATATTTGCTTTATACAATTCTATTTGTTTATATGTATCTTATGCGTTACTCTCTATATCGGTGTCTCTGACCGAAGAGCTTCATAATTTCAAACTTTTCACGGGTCTTTTGTTGATCTGAGTTTCACGCGCATCCAGGTAGGGTTAAGATAACTATAATAGATAACAATGTTTAGTTAAACGTGTGTAGGAGTCCATTGTACTCAAAGTGGAAGCTCCATGTATTGTTGATTTGTTGTAAGATTTTTAATACATTTCTCACCATTCCAATTGTAACACTTTGTCATTAAACATCGTGTAAATAATTTTGAGAGTTCTCTTTCTTCAATGTCTCTGGAATCTTTGACAATTCAAATTTATTATCTACCTACTCAACTAACACTGTTCCTATAAAACTTTGTGAGGTTATTATACAGGCTGAGAGTGAACTGTTTAGGAGTTATTTCATTTTTTCTACAAATCAATGCGTCTGCAGGCACTGTACAAATTAAGGAAGAATATATTTTTGTCCCTACAGTGCTATACCCAATCAGGCTGCCCTTCTGAAAGAATTTTTTCCGACTGCTCCTCCACTCGATGATATGTTGTACAATGCTAGTTTGATATTTACATCTTCCCATGTCAGTTTGTATGGCCCAGCACCCAGTCAGCAGAATGTAAAACAAATCGGAGGCTACCATGTTCCACCTGTAAACCCGTTGCCGAAAGAAATGAAAGAGTTCTTGGATAATGCTACAGAAGGTAATAAAATGACTTTGATGGTTCTTTTCTAAAAATCAGTATCAATATACCACTATCTTCATCTTCAATATGAACAAAAAATGTTGAGAAACATTTTATTTACTAGGAGTTGTCATCTTCTCAATGGGGTCCAACTTGCAGGCTTCTCATTTCGAAGAAGATAAGAAGAATGCAATTTTCAAAACGTTTTCCAAACTCAAACAGAAAGTTCTCTGGAAATTCGAAATCAACTACCCTGAGATATCGAATAATGTTAAAATTTTGAGTTGGATACCTCAAAATGATGTTCTAGGTGAGGTCAATAGGTTTCAATATAAGTACATATGCAGAAAAGAACACACCTTGCTGACTTTAATGGATTATTTCAGCTCACCCTAATGTAGTTGCTTTCATATCTCATGGAGGATTACTTGGTACCATGGAAGCACTAAATCATGGAGTACCTATCCTCGGACTTCCAGTGTATTGGGACCAGATGAAAAATATAGCAGATGCTGCTAGAAGGGGTTTTGCTTTGAGACTGGACTACAAAAATTTGAACGAGCACAACTTCCAAAGATTATTGACAGAGATACTGACAGATGCAAAGTAGGTATCATACTGATAGCCGGCTACAAATTTCGACCAGCATTTGATAACGAAATGTTCATTGTTCGGAATGTAAAAACATTGTATTTCAATGAACGGCACCTGTGCCAATTACTATCCTGAGCAAAATAAAATGCACACAAATTCGCGATGATAACGAGATAAGAATTATCATGCTATCCGATACCAATTCAAAAGATCTCAAGAACATACCTGTGCCAAATCCAAGACACAGCGATTTATTTTCTGCCATTATTCCGGACATACAAAAAGCAAACCAAAGGGGGTAATTTCCGCTCTGAGCTCAGAGCGTCAATATTCCCGAGAATATTCCGCCCCTGTCGAAAGATGATATCCGATGGACCAGTGTGAAACTCATGTAGTTCTAGCACTACAAATATTCTGATCCACATATTGAATATAAGACTAGCCTAGAATAATTATTCTTGGGAATATTGAAGCACTGTCATTGTCTTAGATCAGTAAGAATCGCGGCACGTTTGGATATTCGCAAAGGGAGCAATATTCCTTTTCATTCGCTCTCTGTTTCAATTTTTTATCACATGACGGGAATACGTCTGGAATAATTGCTGTAAATACATCGATGTGCCATGGATTTTGTTCGGATTGAGGGGTGGCATGAATATGTTTTTGAGATTTACCATTGAATTGGTATGGGATGGCATAATTCTTATCTCATTATCAAATCGCTAAATTGAGAGCGAATAGCCGCACAGGAAAGTGCAATTTTTCAATCATTTTGCTCAGGAGTGTGATTGGTATATACAGGTGCCATTCGATGAAATACATGTTTTTGTGATATATATATACAGGGTGATTCACATAACAACCGACATAGGGCAGGGGCATGTAGGGGGTCCCAGAATATGGCAATTTAAGGCAACTTACCTCTATACCAAGTTGCTTCCCTAAGGAGGAGGCATAGCACTAACAGCATGTTAACTTGCTCGTTAAAAAAAAACTTCCCGTTCATTTTAGAAACACTCAAACAATAATTATTACTTAATTGAACAACTTACTTGCCTCATTGTCAAGTTTGGCGTTTATTTTCATAGCCAACTTTTGAATTTTCGATGATTTTAAATAACACACCTAGAGCGCGCGTTTTCAGTTATTCGAGTTTTTGATGAAAATGATGGGGTTATTCGAAAAATTACTAGAGTAAGAAAAGTTTTAGAATTGAATCGCCCACAAAACAAAGTGAAGATTTTTGAAATCCATCGAGGGTTAACAAAATTATGTTGAATATTAATGGTGCGCCACCCGGTATACCCCCTTTACAAATTCCAATTGAACTCTATAGTTACTGTCAAGTAACGCCCTAAATACATCCACAAAGTGTACCAAATTTAGTTGCTTCAAGTTCAAGAATAACGGAGATATTGATTTTTTTCAAAATTTATAACTTCACTTTCAAAGCCTATATCTCCTTAGGGAAGCAATTTGGTATAGAGGTAAGTTGCGTTAAATTGCCATATTTTAGGACCCCCTACATGCCCCTGCTCTATGTCGGTTCTTTTGTGAATCACCCTGTATACAGGGTGTTTCATAATTGAATATCAATACACGAGGAGGTGATTCTTGAGCTCATTCTAATGAGAAAGTTCCATATGAACCTTTTTTTATGTTCTGGTTTCCACGAAAAGAGATATCCTGTAATGTTCAGAGAACATCGTGAGAACCAAGCGAAGTAAGGTAGGAATTGGTGTTCTTCCAGAATTTCTGGAGGTTATATGCCTCAGAAAACACCTTCCTTGGCAATGTGTTCCATAGCCTCGCTGTTCGTTAGATGAACGAGTCTTTGGAAAGAGATGTTCTGCAGGTCTCCAAAGTGACCACGATGGGGTGCGAAGCCTCAACTCGGCGGGTTGATCTCGCGGGGACTGCCAAGGGATGTACAATTGTTGATATTTCAGAAGGGCATCGTCCATGGAAATATCTATAAAATAGAGCGAGTGAGTTTGTGAGTGAGGCATCACCCACGGGACGAATCGCCCTTTTTTGGACAGAATTCAACAGTTTCAGGATATGTTTGGGTGCCGCACTCCAAATATGGGAACAGTATTCCAGAAAAAGTTGGATCTGTGCCTTATAGATCATAAGCAGCTAACTGGAAGTGGAATAGCTCCTAGCCCGAAACAGAAAACCGAGTTTTTGGCATGCACTTTTAGCAATTGATCTCACGTGATTTTCCCAAGAAAAGTTATTGCTGATAGTAGTACCAAGCATCGAAATGGATGTCTTCAAAGGTATGGTTACTCCTGACATGCTTACGTTTGGCACCGTGAGATCGGCTTTTCTAGAGAAAAGGCATGCTTGTGTTTTGTTTGCATTGAAATCTACCAAATTATTGGATCCCCATTCGAGAATTGTTGCCAAGTCCATATTTATGTTGTTAACATTTCTTCCTCGTTCGTTTCTGATTTGCCTGGCTGGTATTGGAGCCCTGGAAGAGAAGGCGGTATGGAGGGTACTATCATCCGCGAAACTGTGTACTGGACATGAAGTTGCTTTCAACAAATCGTTGATATGGAGTATAAATAGTGTTGGTGCTAGAATTGATCCTTGCGGAACACCAACATCTATGGTAAGAGAGTCAGATGAAACTCCGTCGACCACTACATGGAGAGACCTGTCTGAGAGAAAACTAGCTTGCAGATAACATAGCTGGGGAGGCAAGCCATAAGATGGGAGCTTGGCGAGGAGTCCGTGGTGCCAGACTCGATCGAATGCTTCGGATATTTTTCAATAGATTGCTGCCATATGTGTGAGACGTAAGCGATCAGGTCACCAGTTGATCTCTGATGACGGAAGCCATATTGCCTAACGTTGATAATACCTGTATGTTCCAGAAGTTCAAGAGCTCAATGTTGATAGCTTTCTCCATGATCTTTGAAATAATAGGTAGTAGTGCGATCGGTCTGTAGTTGCTAAGTAGGGTCTTTTTGCCCTTTTTAGGAACTGGTTGTACTCTTGGAATTTTCCAGTCGGACAAGAATATACCCAATTCGTAAGAGTAGTTGAACAACTCGCAGAAAACAGGTGTTATTTCGGAAGCACATTTCTTGAGAACAATCGGTGATATTCCGTTGGAGCCATTAGATTTGTTGGTGCTGAGACCCAATAAAATCTTCCTTATATTACGTTGGCGAAAGGTGATCTCGAGCATATGACAGTCAATTGGCATGTTTAGAGGTTGTTTTCCCGATGAATCCAGAGAGGAATTTTCAGCAAATGATTGCGCAAAAATATTGTCTGTCTCCTGGGCAGTTGTGGCTAATGTTCCATCTTCCTTGGTAAGAGGAGGAAACGAGCTGGAAGTGAAGTTTCTTTCTACAGCTTTGGCGAAGTACCAAAATAAACGGGATTCGTTAGGACATTCACAAGTTTTGATCTAATTTTGGTATTATGAGCATCCTTTGATGATCGAACCTATGACCTAAACGTCCTTACCCTTGAGATACAAAGTGGTAAAGTTTTCAAAAATTGATATAGCCTACTACAATGAATAGTTATGATACAAAAATATCAAATACGAATACGAAGTTCATAAACTATGGATTGTATTCCTAAAATTTGATCTGAAAAATAAAATCTATTTCTCTGCATTGGGATAAGGTCATATCAACGATATTGCTATAATCATGTAGTGAAAAGCTTTTTATTTTTTCAAGCGAAAACCGTCCATACGAACGCCACTGGTGGCCGTGGTGGAGAAAATGTGATACATCAACTGATGCATCCTGATACAAAGTACATGTACGCCCAATTTCATCAGAATATCTGAAGTGGTATTACAGATATTAATGAAAAACTATTAATTTTTGAGAGCTTTATCACCAGTATCTCAAAAATTAGGGCGTTTACGTTACGTTCATATGAAACTTTCTTCTCAGAATGGGCCCAAGAATCGCCTCTTCAAATATTAACATCCAATTATGAAACACCCTGTATATATTTTCGTTATCAGACGACGGTCGAAATTTGCAGCCGGCTCTTGAACTATGAAGGTATATATAAGATACTATCCTCGTTTTGACATTACACAATTTCGGGTATCGTGAATGGAATGAGGGCTAACATTATAATATCAACATTATACAAGGTGTTTCAAAAAAACCTAACCCCCTTGCTAGGGTAGGTAGAACATTGCAAAATAGGTTGGGTTTGTTCTGTGAAAAAATGTCGTAACGGCATCCGTTTTCATGATACAAGGTGTTGAAAACATTATTTTTTTACACATTTTTCACGATTATTCCAAAACTACTGGGAATGTTGTAATGATATTTTGTATGGATGTTTCATGAAATCTGACACATTGCATGAATTTGTTTTTACATCTGACTCTCATAGAGGGGGCTAGTTACACGGTTCGTACCGAGTAGTTTTGAACATAGCTTTTTTGAGGTTAGATTTTTCAAACCAAATATGATATAAACTTGAACATCATTCAATTTCACACCAAAAAAGTACTCCTGGTGAAACTCGATACTATGTTTCGTTTTCGGAATATTTCGTTTTGAAAATAATGGAGTAGTATTGATGCTGGTATAAAACGAATTTTATTGAGTTCAATTACCTATTTATTCAGGTTCAAAAACAATGAAATTATTCTTGTGCTGAAGTTATTGATGAAACAAAGAATCATGAGTAGAAAATTGAGATATATTCGACTAGAAACATGAAATATTGAATCAGTTAGAGTAAGTGTTCAAAATGTCCTACGTTTCGAGGAATACACGATTCTATATTCTATTTTTAAGAATGTATTATTCTTCTGAACAGTTGAGGATCAGCTGTCAGGTCATTTGAGTGATCTTCAATTATGTCTCACAACTCTTGACGTGAATTTACCTGTGTAGCATAGACTTTCTGCTCAAGATACAACAAAACTGTGTAATCCATGTTCTTAGTCAAATCTGTTTGTGTTTGTTGTTTTCGGTTTTCAATAAATAGGTGATAATTTTTCATAATATTCACTCTAATACATATAGCTTCATAACAGCAACAGTTACCACTTCATCATTTTCAAATCGAAATATTCCGAAAACGGAACACAGTATCGAGTTTTACCAAGAGTATCATTTTGATGTGAAATTGAATGATGTTCAAGTTCACATCAAATTTGGATTGAAAAATCTAACCTAAAAAAAGTTATGTTCAAAACTACTCGCAATAAAGAACCGTGTGACTAGCGCCCTCTATGAGAGTCAGATATAAAATCAAATGCATGCGATGTGTCAGATTCCAAGAAACATCCATACAAAATTTCATCACAATGTTGCCTGTTAGGCCAATCAAATAATTATATTTTGAGGAATTAATTTCCAGCAAGCTGGAAATCATTTAATTACCTTCATTCGGTCCCAAATGCGTGTAATCTAAGTTTGCACCATTCCAGGAGTTGAGCTTAACTTTTGATAGCCAAAAAACCGACAAATTTTTGCACTTTTTTTATTTTTTTGCTTATAGCTGCAAAATGGTTCATCGGTCGAAAAATGTCATTCCATTCAATAATATAGAAGGCAAAATTCTGCGTCGAATGACATCTGGAAACATCCAATTCCGTTTAGTATAGTAGTATAGCCGAAATCGAATGTTAAAAAAGAAGAAAATTTCGTAGTTCGGTGCAAGCTTACATTTTACGGCTTTCCAAGACGACATATCGTGAAAACAGATACTCCTATTGAAAAAACCCATAAAATAAAAGTTGTAGAGAATAAAATTTTACGTTATATAGATAGATGTCCAAATGTTTAAGTTTTCTTGATTTGTCCAATTATCCGGATATCTGAATGCCCGGTTCAGCTTCGGTCCCAAATTTTGCATCAATTTATAATTATTTTTCATCTAGTGCGCGAAATGCTACTTTGGTGATCGAGAGCTGCTTTTTTTAACGAGGCGCAGGCAAGTTAAAAAATAGTCGAAATCACCAAAGTATTTCGCGCACGAGTTGCAAACAATTTTTTTTTTACAAACGCCAAACAAAATTCATTGTAAATAATAAATAAAATTAGGTAGTGTAAAATTTTGTCACAATTCGAAAAGAGTTTGAAAGCCTTAATTATTGTTACCTAAACATTCAGAAACAAATGATTCCATGGATTTTTTGCATTGAGTACCATAAACCATAAAGGTTGAAATATAAAAATCCCACTACGAAATTTTCTTTTTTTTAACATTCGATTTCGGCTATACCTCTGAACGAAATTTGATGTTTTCAGATGTCATTCGACGCAGAATTTTGTCCTCTGTATTATTGAATTGAATAACATTTTCCGTCCGACGCACCGTTTTGCAGCTATAAGCAAAAAAATAAAAAAAGTGCAAAAATGTGGCGGTTTTTTGGCTATCAAAAGTTGAGCTCACCACCTGACATGGTGCAAACTCAGATTACACGCATTTAGGACCAAATAGAGGTATTAAAACGATTTCCAGTTTGCTGGAAATTAATTCCTCAAAACGGTTTTTTTCGATTTAATTTTATTAGCCTATGTAGTTTCAACATATTCGTGAAATATGTGTAAAAAAAATATAGTTTCAACACCTTGTATCTTGAAAACGGATGGCGTTACGACATTTTTTACTGTGCAAACCCAACTTATTTTGCAATGTTCTACCTACCCTAGCAAGGGGGTTAGGTTAATTTGAAACACCCTGTATATTGTCAGAGTTGATTGAACTCATTCTTGTCGTGTCATTTGGCTTTCTCCTATGATATCTGCTCCTTCTCCGTCAATGTTAGAATTTTTTCGTAGAGTTCTACACTGAGAGTTAAAAAACATAAGAGTGCTGGAGTATTTCCATAACTTGAAATTTTCTATTTGATCAAATAGTCTACATCATTTTTTCCGCATATTTTCAGTAGTAGTCCCTAACAACACAAGTAAATCCTAGAGTCTTCCCAGGGACGTTCCTAATTCAATACCTGGACATCCCAGGGATATCCTTCGTGGAGACAAAGTACATACTAGGGACGTCCTAGGAACATCCACTTACCGACGTCCCTGAGATGTACCAAGTATCAAGAAAGATATCCCTAGGACGTCCCAAGGATATTTCAGGGACATTTCTTCGACAAAAGAAAAACAATATAGGTCGGGTAGGGATTGAACCCCCAATATGCCTTCTGAAGATTTATGTACTGAACAGATTTATAAACAGTATAAAACTGAAACCTGAATGAATACAACTTCGTTAGGATTTCTGTTTGCGAAAAATGGTCATTTCTTAAGAAATTCTGAGACTATATTCTTTATTTTATTTACAATTATTTTCCGGAAGAAAAACAAACATTTTCAAAATAATGCAACCCAATATTTTGATGAAATTCAATGACTCTGATGTGAATGGATATCAGATATTCCAGAGACACGAATTGGATAACCTAGGGACGTACCGGGCGGGATGTCCACTGGACAACCACTGTGGGACATCCCCTGGATGCCCTAATCATGTCCTTATTGTACCGCGGGACAAAAATGGGACGTACCTAAGACATTCCTGTGTTGTCAGGGATACTTCAAAATATTTACAAACAACCATCATCTCAGATGGCTTTAACCCCCCAGAACGCCATTTCTGGGCTCATGTTTACATGAACTTTCTTTACTATTTTTGTTCCTAGAATCTGTAATTGATATCTCTCCATGTTATTTCGGGACACCCTGTATACAGGCTGACTGACAAAAAACGCCCCGATCCGTAGCGCCACTATTTATTATCTGATTTTGAAAAGCAAGAAAGCAAATGGAATGACTCATGAGATACTACAAGGTGGCACTAACAATGCTTTTTTCCAATTTCAAATATAACCACCGATTGTCAACTTTTTTTTTTTCAAATGCCATTGTATAATTTTTAATTTTTTTTCTGATTTTTCTGAATACAACGATGTATCACACTTGAGGTCTAGCGGGAAAGATTACAGAGATATAAGGGTGTTCAAAATCGACATTTTTCAACTTCAGGATCTTTTGTGTCGAAACTATTCATTATTGGTCAAAACTGCTCACATGTCTTTATCTCAACTTTTGATTTACTATCTACTGACATTAATTGGAACAGATACAGGGTGATCAGAATTCTCTGATTCTTGAACCACCCTGTATTTGTTCCAACTAAATGTCAGTAGATAGTGAATCAAAAGTTGAGATAGGCACATGCAAGCCGTTTCGACCAAAAATTAATAGTTTCGACACAAAAAAAATCCTACAGTTGAAAAATCTCGATTTTGAACACCCTATATCTCTGTAATCTTTTCCGTTAGACCTCAAGTGTGATACATCATCGTATTCAGAAAAAAAATCTCTATCAGAAAAAAAAATTGAAAATATACAATGCCATTTGAAAAAAAAAAGTTGACAATGGGTGTCGTTATAGTTGAAATTGGATAAAGAAATTGTTAGTGCCACCTTGTTGTATCTCAAGAGTCATTTCATTTGCTTTTTTGTTGTTTGAAATCGGATAATAAATAGCGGCGCTACGGATCGGGGCGTTTTTTTGTCAGTCAGCCTGTATATCCATTTTTTCATGTTCATAATTTATTTGAGAATATTCTTTTTCAATAATTTTTTATTCGTTAATCCGGACCTAGATTTTCATCGTGACTGATAGTTGAGTGTCTTGGGTAGGAGAAGAAGAACTTGTGTATCAAATTCCAAAAGAATAAACTGGTTGGTTCGTGATAATCCTTGTTATTCGATTAGGAAAACTCAAAATATTCCATTCTCACCTATCCAATGAATAAAACCTCAAATTCAAAATAATAAATTCTCTATAGTGAAATAGCATGCGGGAAAATGAAGATTGTGTGCACTTTCCAAATATATAAGCGGATTTTGAATATTCGAAAATACAGTGTGTCCTTTTTGAGGTCCAGAAATATGATCAATTTTCGAAAATCCAGACCTGGATTCTTCTCGTGACTGATAGATGGGGCGCTTGGGTATGAGAATATGGAACTGTACATCAAATTCCGAAACTTGTAAGACCCCACAAATATGAGGCTTGTTCGTTTGTCATGCTCACTCTGCTAAAAAGTGATGAGAGCAATATTTGATGTACATTTGTTTCGAGCAATTGATGAATGAGTTTTTGTTTGACTGAAGAAAGTTGCCATAGATCACTTGAAGCAGAATTTAATTGCTCAGCGAATTTCCAGGGAGAAGAGAAATTAAATTAGATTGATCAAGTTGGATGACGAATGAAAACGAAGAAGATGACGAAAAATATCAGTTATATATGAATAATACCAACGGTTCTATCATTTTGATCACTAATTTTCTTCTCCTGATCAAAAATCAACGATCAAAACCTCCTATCAAAACCAAATCAAAACAAATTTGGAAATAATTCGTGCCACTGCTTTGTGGTCGTGGTTGTGGTAAATCAGGCTTTCTGCTTGTTTGAGTTGAGAAAGAGAGATAAATGCTCCTATATACTGATTACAGATTACGTGATCTTCATAATTTTTTGAGCATGATGAGCTCTACCCACCGTTGACATTTTTCAGTTTCCAAATGGGACACATTGTATATATTGCCTAGAATCTACGTTGCGCTACCCAATCAGCTTTGACTAATTTGAGAAAAATGCGATTATTTACTTTAAATACCTGATGAGGACAATACCTGAGGGATTGAAAGTGCCAATTTTGGGAATGTTATTGTCAGTTCTGTTTCCTTTATAATCATTTTTCTGTGTATTATTTTACTAAAAAAAAATGCTTTGTATCGACCTCCACTAATGTGGAATCAAAAGCAAGTGACCGGCTGTAGTATAAGATGACGTATGCCCAGTTCCGACAAACTTCAAATAACGTCATTTATAAATCCATTTGAAATTCCAAAATGTTCGTCTCTACCCTTCAGAAAATGTAATTTCACCTCACAAGCGGTATTCACCCCCAGGTTGGACCTAGTGGACGTTAGTGTGAATTGATTATTATTGTTTACTTTCAGTTACCGTCAGAGTGCTAAAAAGCAATCAAGAATATTCCATGATCAACCTGTAAAGCAAATTGACGAAGCCATGTTTTGGTTGGAATATGTTATTCGTCATAAGGGTGCTCCACACTTGATGACAGCAGCAATAAAATTGAAGTGGTATCAACTTCATCTACTCGACATTTATTTATTTATTGCAACGATCATGTCAGTATCAGTTTTCATTATTTATATTACTGCCAAAAAATATTCTATATCAAGTGGTGAAAAGATCGATTTGAGGAATAAGACTAAATAGTTTTTCAAATTCACTTGGTGGACAACCATTTGGGTTTTCACAAAATTAAACTGAAAATAGTCTATCATGTTTCGTACAATTAGCCATCATTGATTGAACGAGGTTCGTCGTCCAGAAGCATCAGAAGCCATGTATACTGTTTATTGTAAGATTCTATCCAAATCCTATAGTTTGTAGTGATATTTCCAGAATAAAAGATGTCTCACTAGCATTCGATAGTTATTTTCGCAATATAACCTATGTAAATGACTACATGTTAGTATTATCGTTCGAGGAAATGAACATAACTATTATTCAATAATAAAAGAGACAGAATTTCAAGTATCACTGAAAACCAAAAATTTTATGCGAATCTTTTTCGTGTCACATGCGCAGACTCCGTGGAGCCATTATCAGGCTGAAAATGCAAAATACCTATTGGTGAAATGGAATAACAGTTGAAAGTTTCATCACTATTGGAAAGTCATAGGTTACGTAGGTTATGGACTGTGAGGAAAAAAAAATGTCGTCGAATGACGAAAGTGATATTATGTTTTGAAGTGAGATAACAGTTTACTAACAGGGGCGTAGCCGAGGCTAGTAATGTTCACGGGCACATTGCAGAACCCTTTTTTGAATTTTGTTTGATGAACACCCAAGGAAACATTTCCTTTCTCAGATTATAATATGTTTTATCTTACTTCATATCATAGCAGCGCTTAAAGTAAATCGAAGGCACAAACCAGCAAACACGACTTCAACGAACCACACCAAGAGAAATATCTATTAGCGGATATACGAAATTGTATAACCATTAAAAGATTTCTGAATTAAATAGGCGCCAGCATAGTTCCCATTTCACTGTAATCACGTTCATCATTTCAAAAAAATCATATAACTGTGAAATATCACTTATATGAGAATGAAATGACACTCATATAGGGGTCAAATGACTAGCATTCCAATGCTATACGATCATATTATAAAAATGAGAAGATACTCATATAAATTTGACTTGTTTTCAATTTGATAGTCAAATAAAAAGCATTTCAATATTGAATAGTGATATTATATCAATATAATTTGCTTTCAATTTCATAGTCAAAAGATGCATGGTATTTCAGTATTAGGATGATTAATTTTTCTCCAGAAAAATGAAGTTGGTTGAAACTCTTCGAGAAATATTGAAGACATATATACTTGGTATATTTACTCACCCCCAAGTGAAGTTTTTTTGAGGAACTACAGGGCATTGAAGTGCATCACAAGGACGATATACTCAGTTTACAATATCTCAGTTTGTGTAGGACGAAAATGCTTCCAATTTGGACTATTTGTTCTCATTGTCAGTGCATTGGATCATTAGTTAATATAGTGGCTAAAAATTTAATAACACAGTATCGTCAGTAAATTAGAGTTCACATTCGCAGATTTCGTTTCATTTTATTTACCGTTATTGCCACTTGAGCTTTACAAAAGAACGTTGAGAGACTTTTCTTACGACGTTTTCGAGATCCCCATGATAGTAATCGTTAATCTTGGACACAATGTATACGCAATACAATTTATCACCGATAAAACTGTTCAAATCCAAGCTTTTGCCACTAAGTGAATAGTGAGGTGAGTATAAAAATAAAAGTTTTTCCAATTTGGAAGACATTCCGATACATACACTTACCGATATATCGTGAAAACACTATAACGTACAGAGGCAGTTCTACATTCTGTAGTTCCAAATCCAAATCCAAATCTTGGGGGATATATGAACAAATATGTCCCTAATATTTCTAGAATATCTCTCAACCACCTCACTTTTTCGAAAACAAAAAATATCACTCTGCAAGAAGAGTTCACGAGCTGCCGCGAGCTATATAATAATTATGTCCTTTCATATCAGGAATCCGGAGACGACTCTCATCGAACAAGTGTTCATAGGTGAGTGAGATGACTCATTGAGGTAAACGAGTATGACAAAGATGGAAAATGATAGAAGGGATGAAACTAAATGATAACTGTATAACTGTGAATGTTTCATTCGGCGGTTATAAGAAGTTTGTAAATAGAGACATGTATAACTGGACTTTTCTCGGTGCAGGAATATCCTGACTTCCTCACTGTCACGTTTCCAAAAAAATAGATTGAAAATATATAAGGCGCGAGGAAGCCAGCACAGGTATTATTCAATTATTCGGTCAATTCCATAATTTGATTCGATCATAGATTATTCATTGATTCGATCATCTACAACTGTGCCAGAACCGTCAGAGTTCGGAACAGAACAGAATATGCCCTTAAATACTGTCTGTAGGTTAATCGAGGAGGTGGTACATTCATTTTACTTGGTTCTTTGGGATTTTCTCTCCTCGTTTCTATAAAATAAAAGTATTCGTATTATTTCAATATATTTGTAGAGGGACAAATCAGATGATTTGCCCCAAAATGTCACTGCGTTTAACAAATTTTTCTATCAGGGAGTCTAAAAGAAAAATCCAGTAGCTTGTCAGTGACAATTTGTTTGAAAAAATTTTTGAAGGAAAGAAATATAGATATATTGAAAAAATATCGAATTTGTACTTATCTTTGGACGTTTCGGGACCGATTCTGCTCCCGTTCTCAACATGTAAATGCAAATTATTTTTCTTTGAAATTTTTGCTGCGTATAGTTTGACACTTTTCAATGTCATACTGATGTTGGCATATGAATGAGTGATTTTAGTCTACAAATGAGTTACAGGATGTTTTCATTAATTGATCTTGAATCTACCATTTTCATGTTCAGTTTTCAGTAGTGAATACCATGTTCTATTAATATCAACTGAACAGGAAGCAATGCTATTGTCTCCGTTTAGAAGAATGCAAGCGGATTCCTTTATTTTTCTTTTTTGTTTGTTATCTTCCTTTCCTATGATTTTGATATTATTCCACTGTGCCATATGTTGTCCATCTTCAGTGAGGATATGTTCAGTTAGCTTCGATTTATCGATATGTCTTTTCTTGATATTGTACTTGTGTTCTTTTGTCCTTACTGAGAGAGGTCTCTTCGTTTCACCTGTATAATACTTTCCACAAACACAAGGTATACTATAAATACAATTTTTTGATGATTGTTCTTCATTTTTTGGCTTTGTTTGAGTTAGAATGGATCTCATTGTATTTTCAGTTTTGAACACAGTTTTCACTTGGAACTTATCACCAACACGTTTCATTTTTTCAGATATGCCGGGAATGTACGGTATTATATTCGTCGTTATTGATGGTTGTTTTTGTTGTGGTGTATTTTGTTTGTTTTCAATTTGGTGAATCGTTCTATCAATGAAGTTCCTTGGATATGAGTTGAGTTGAAGAACATCTCTGATGTGGTGGATTTCGTTATTGAAAATTTGTTGGTTAGATGATATTGATTTGGCTCGATCATGAAGTGATCTGATTATTCCTTTTTTGATAGCTTTCTGATGATTTGATTGAAAATTGAGGTATCTGTTAGTATGAGTCTTCTTACGATATACACTTGTTAAGAAAACATTGTTTGTTTTTTTGATAAGAACATCTAAAAATGGTAACTGATTGTCAGATTCAATTTCCAAAGTGAACTTTATAGTAGGTTCTGCATTGTTTACATGATCTAGAAAATTATCTAGTTCTATAAGGGTATGTGGCCAAATTATGAAGATGTCATCTACGTATCTCCACCACGTTTTTGGTTGTTTTTCGTAATTTTTAATAACGTTTTCTTCGAAATTCTCCATAAATATATTGCTCAAAATTGGAGATAGTGGTGAGCCCATAGCCATGCCAAAACTCTGTTGATAAAACTCATCATCCAATTGAAAATATGTAGTTTTTAGGCATAATTCCAAAAATTCCAAAATTCCTTCGATACTCAGATTGGTTCTCTCAGTAAGAGTTTCATCATCTTCTAATTTATGTTTCACTATTTGTAAAGTTTTATCTATAGGAACATTTGTGAATAAAATCACTACATCAAAACTAACAAGAGTGTCATTTATATCCAATGTGATATCGTTCAATTTTTCTAAGAAATGAGGAGTATTTCTAATGAAACTCTCACTCTTACCTGATATAGGATTGATAATATTCAAAAGAAATCTTGCTAAATTTTGACATGGAGATCCAATTGAACTCACTATTGGTCTCAAAGGAATATTTGGTTTATGTATTTTTGGAAGTCCGTAAAAATGTGGAGGTTTGCTGTGATATATGGAGATGTTCTTCCTCTCCGCAAGTGTTAGTTGATTTTCGTGTTTCTTTATAGTGTTGCGTATCTTTCTCTCAATGTTCGCTGTAGGATCTTTATTTAATTTCGTGTAATTGCCATCGTTTATCAGTTGTTCAATTTTATTGTCGTATTCAATTTTGTCCATGATGACTGTAGCATTGCCTTTATCAGCTGGGAGTATTTTGATTGTGTTATCTTGTTTCAAGTTATTGAGTGACTTTTTCTCTATGTTACTAATGTTTTGTGTGATTTTGTGTTCTTTTTCAATGATGATTTTGTTTCTGATTCGGTACTCATTTGAAAATTCATCAGGAAGTCTTTGTGCAGTTTGTTCTATTGCTGCTATCAAATCTACTCTCGGAAAAACATTTGGAGTTATTGAAAAATTCATACCTTTTGATAATATTAATTTCTCTGTATCTGATAGTGATCTCGATGATAGATTAATAACAGTTTTGTCGAAGAAATGTTGTTGACGACTTCTCAATCTCAATTCATTTCGATGTTTCTCATTAATGAGGTTATTGAATTTTCTTATTTGAATCAATTTGTTCCTAGTCTTTTCTTTATTATAAGAATCATTCACACAAATGAAAATATGTGTCGAATCATCTTCGTGTAAATCGTTATATATATTGTGTTCTAGTTGTGATATGATGTTCTTTATTCTTACCTTATTGTATTTGTGGAAACTTATTCTTTCTCTTACTAATGCCTTACTTGCTTTCAGAACTATCCATTCACTTCGTCTACTATAAAATGGTGCTTTTAAATGTAACCCTTTTGGTATCACTCCATTATCACGACATTTGCAAAGAAAAGTTAAATTATTTTCCGCGTGAGACAGTTTTATATAGAAATCTTCAAGCTTTCGGAACTGATGATTGATGTGAGGCCCATACCTATTTGTTAAATACTGTCTGTAGGTTAATCGAGGAGGTGGTACATTCATTTTACTTGGTTCTTTGGGATTTTCTCTCCTCGTTTCTATAAAA